TCATACCTTGTTTACACAGTCCCTGTGCAGGGTTTCTGACCTGTGGTAAGTAAAGAATGCCACTTTCCAACAGGCCCAGGAGCCCCAAGTTATCTTAGGATCTCAAGAGGAGCGGAATTTAACCAACTTATAGGTATTTGAGGATAAACACCAGGGCTCAGCTTAAAAAAATCTTATCTGAGATTCCTTTTATGGAACAAAGTTCCATCAAAGCCAATTTTAAAAAGCCTATATGAAGGCTGGGCATGGCGGCTCATGCCTGTAATCCCAGCACTTTGGGAGACCAAGTGGGCATATCACCTGAGGTCAGGAGTTTGAGACCAGCCTGGCCAACATGGTGACACACTGTCTCTAATGAAAATACAAAATTAGCAGGGCATGTTGGAACATGTCTGTAATCCCAGCTACTTGGGAGGCTGAGGCAAGAGATTTGCTTGAACCTAGAAGGCAGAGGTTGCAGTGATCTGAGCTTGCATCACTGCACTCCAGCCTGGGCAACAAGAGCAAAACTCTGTCTCAAAAATAATTTTTTAAGATTAATAATTTAAAAATTATTAATTTCTTATTAAATTAATAATTTTAAAAAATATTTTATGTGAAAAATAATTATTTTTGCTATACTTTATACAAATAATCAGGCCAATTGTAATAAAGCAAATCAGTCTTATCATGATTTGTCTTTAGTAAAAATCAGTGACTGGAGAGAGAAAAAAATTGTTTCAAAAACTATGGTACACCTGGCATTAGATTATATTCTCATTAGTTGTTTTTAAGGTTTTTTTCTGCAACTTTGACTATTGATTCCTTTGAACCAATCAGTGATCTCTGCAGCTCAGAAGAAACAAGGACAGCTAATGTAAAAATCCACATCAGTATTCTAATCCTGGATATGTATTATAATCAGCTAGCAACCCTATATCAGCTTGGTTCCAACAATTGCCCAATTCATGGAAAGCTTTCTTATTTAGATTACTTGGGGTCATTTTACTTATTTTGCTTTACTGTTGTAGAATATATTGCTGTTGCACTCTTTGTGTAGGAGTGTAGGATAAGCTTACTCAATGTTTTCTTACATTGAACCCTTATTAATCTTTCAGATATCACATTTTGTCAGAACTCAGAATTATGAATGGCTCTCACCATACTGACTCTTTCTGAGCTCCTCTGTACTCCAAATACAAGAGATCCTAATAGGCAGAAATATCATCGCCCCTATTCAGCCTGAAGAAGTTGCAGAAGATGAATCTTTGTACCTCTACAACCCTCAGGATTAAGGGTTCCCTTGTAAAAGGAAGGAAGAAATATGTCAGAGGTGATTATACCAGAGCGACTCCATCTTGAATAGGGACTGGGTAAAATAAGACTGAGACCTACTGGGCTGCATTCCAAGGAGGTTAGACATTCTTAGTCACAGGGTGAGATAGGAGGTCAGCACAAGATACAGATCACAAAGACCTTGCAGATAAAACAGATTGCAATAAAAAAGCTGACCAAAACCTGCCAAAATCAAGATGGCAACAAAAGTGACCTCCTCACTGCTCGTTATACACTGATTATAATGTATTAGCATGCTAAGAGACATTTCTGCCAGGGCTATGACAGTTTATAAATGCCATGGCAACGTCAAGAAGTTACCCTATATGGTCTAAAAAGGGGAGCAACCCTCAGTTCCAGGAATTGCCCACTCATGAATAATCGACCCCTTGTTTGGTACATAATCCAGAAATAACCACAAAAATGGCCAACCAGCAGCCCTCGGGACTGCTCTGCCTATGGAAAAGCCAGGCTTTTAGTCCTTTACTTTCCTAATATAGTCACTTTCACTTCAAAAGAAGATTCAAATAGTATATATAAAGCACCTAGCACCGAAGCTGTCTTATAATAGACACTTGATAAATGGTACTGCTCCCCCCTTGAAGCAGATGACTAACTCAGTCTGGATAGCTATATATTTACACTAGCACAATGTCTGGTATCCTGTATGTGTGCAATAAATGTTTAACTTGATTGAAAGATGAGTGAATGGATGGAAGGATGTCTGGTTAAAGTGATGTATAAGGTTTCAATCACTGATTTATAAATATAAAAATATGGATGATGCTTAGGTTTTACTAGTACAGCCTGAAAGACTGATCAGAACTGATGGTGGCTTTCAGGAGTGGCTACATAATTACCAGGCAATGATGAAGAGTAAAATATGTGGCCTCTTCAGAAATTATTAAGAAATTCAAGATGGCAACAGCAGATCATTAAATCATGTTTGGGCCCCTTCCAAGCACTGGGCCCTGTGTAATTGCACAGCACATATACTCAGGAAGGCATCCTTGCTCACTTTAGCCTTATAGTAGAGTCCTGAGGGACTCCTTCTGTGCCAGCTGTTAGTCCTTAGTTGCTAGATCTTGGGAAGTCCTAGGAGTAAGGATTCAAAGTGAGGGGCTGGGGCAGCACCAGGTGGCAGAAGACAGATGGGCAGGAGGGGGCAATGACTTAAGCCACTGTCTGTGTACCAAGCATTTGGGAAATATTCAATACCTTGAAACTCCCTCATAATGCAAAAAGAAAAAAAAATTAGAGTTCAAAAAAATTTAACTTCAGCTGGGTATAGTGGCACACACCTGTAGACCCAGCTACTTGGGAGACTGAGCCAGAAGGATGACTTGAGCCCAGGAATTCAAGTCGTATAGGTAACATAGCAAGAACCTGTCTCTAAAAAAAAATCAATTGTGATCATTAAAAAAATCAGGAGACAACAGATGCTGGAGAGGATGTGGAGAAATAGGAACACTTTCACACTGTTGGTTGGAGTGTAAATTAGTTCAACCATTGTGGAAGACAGTGTGGCAATTTCTCAAGGACCTAGGAATAGAAATTCCATTTGACCCAGCAAGCCCATTACTGGGTATACACACAAAGGATTATAAATTGTTCTGTTATAAAGACACATGCACACGTATGTTCATTGCAGTACTGTTTACGATAGCAAAGACTTGGAATCAATCCAAAAGCCCATCAATGATAGACTCGATAAAGAAAATGTGGCACATATACACCATGGAATACTATGAAGCCATAAAAAAGGATGAGTTTATGTTCTTTGCAGGGACATGGATGAAGCTGAAAACCATCACTCTCAGCAAACTGACACAAGAACAGAAAGCCAAACACCGCATGTTTTCACTCATAACTGGGTGTTGAACAATGAGAACACGTGGACACAGGGACGGGAACATCACACACTGGGACCTGTTGGAGGGTGAGGAGCTAGGGGAGGGATAGCAAGGGATGGGGAAATTGAGAAGAGATAACATTAGGAGCAATACCTAATGTAGATGACGGGGGAATGGATGCAGCAAACCACCATGGCATGTGTATACCTATGTAACAATTCTGCACAATCTGCACATGTACCCCAGAGCTTAAAGTATAATAATAAAAAAATTAAAAATTAAAAAAAATTTTGGGCTTACATTATTGTAATATTAATAAACTTACATATCTATCAGGTCAGGAGTTCCAGGGGTCTTTGTGGAGGGTCCAATCTATACACATTTGGTGCCACTTGATTCCATTTTGTTGGGGCAATTCTGATTGGGGTTTCTAGGTTTATGGTACAGAGTTCAGAATTCCTTTAATTAGTAGGGCTTGTTGTACATGCACTAAACAAGGGAATTAGAATACTAGGTTTCCAAGATGCATGCAGCCTCTCAGGATGAGGTTGCCTGCCATATCCCTACCTCACCTTGACGTCTTCACATCACATTCCTCCTTCCTCCCCTATGCCCCTTAACTCACTAAGAACAACTTCAGCAAGCTCTAGTTTGACAGTAATTGCCAATCATATTGCATCTTAAGTCACACTATCACAGGAGTTTTAATGTTTAACAAGGACAAGGCTACTTAGGGAAATGGTGGTACATCCTATCATTGATTACAAGTGACGGTAAAGGATGATATTCTGGTTTACACTTCAGTTTTAGCTTTTTTTTTTTTTTATCTTTTAGAGACGATCAGTGGCAATGATGAGCACAGCTGTAGCTACCCTTCCCATGAGCTTACCTCTGCATTATATTATTTTAGCATTTTGTATTCTAAAATACTGCTATAAATCAGTGCTTTTCAAATTGAGTGTGCAAATGAATCATCTGGGAATACTCTTAAAATGCAAATTGCTAAATGAGTAGGTCGGGATTGGAGCAATTCTAATAAGCTCCCAGGTGATGGCCACTCTACTGTGAACAGTACTAAATAGAAACTAGTCCAAATTAAAGCTGGGCTCTTGATTGTATTCCATAATCTTGATTGGAGTCTATTATTCCTTAAGTTTTAAAGCAATTATCGATACCTAGGATGCCACATTCCCTGAAGGTTGGGTGTCCTTTTAGAAAGCTTCTTACTAATTTCAGAGGTTTGTGCCTTTTGGTCCTTGAACCAAAAACAAATCCACACCATCAGAAAATATAGGAAACTCTCAAGCTTTTACTGTGTAATTTGTGACTTCCAATTTTTTAAATATGATTTCTAATCATTTTATTAGTTTTAACCTTTTAAGCACTGCATTCTTCCCACATTTTTCTTCATGAAATCCAAAGCATATATTTAGGACTATGAATGTATTTAAAACTTCTTGCTTCCTAATACTTTTCACAGGTTACATTTAAAGCCAAACAATTTTTTGATAGTGTATACTTTCATCCCAAGTGCAGTTTAAAACAAACAACAACAAAAGCTAGAATCTCATCTTCCAAGATTTGGTAATATCTCTGTGACTTAGTGCAAGCTGTGAAGTCACATTGTTTTATTAATACATCATAAATATAAAACCTGACTCATACCTTGATTTTTCTACATACAGCACTCTTACAATGAATTTATGAGAAAAGAAACTATTAACAGTTTCTTTTCTATTAACAGAATCCAGAAACTGTACTACTAGCTGAGGCTTTGAGTACTCAAAAGCCTATTTAAATAAAACAATACTTTTAAATAAGATGTATTCAACATTTGCAGGAAAAATTCACTTTATTGAGACTCGTATTTAACATTTGGCCATGACTGGAAACTGGTGAGTCAATACCATGTCTCTTGAAACATGAACTCTTCATTCATCGTGGAAAAATTCTGGAATTTAGAAAGAACTCTGTTATTAACAAATCATCATTAATAACACAAACTATTTCACTGAATATTAACAACTCAGATAATAAGCATAAGAGCATTCAGCAAACAGTGAAGCATTCTATACACATTCATTTTTCTGTCTATCTTGAAAAGATGGCATTGAGATATTTTTCTCAGTGGGGCACAGTGGCTGGCACCTGTAATCCCAGCACTTTGGGAGGCCAAGATAGGAGGAATGGCTTGAGCCCAGGAGTTCAAGGCCAGCCTAGGCAAAATAGTGGGACTCTATCTCTATATAAAAAAATTAAAAATTAGCCACCATGCCTAATTTTTAAATATTTTTTAGAGATAGACCCTTCTATGGTGTTGTATGCCTGTAGTCCCAGCTACACAGGAGGCTGAGGTGGGAGGATTGCTTGAGCCCGGGATACCAAGGCTGCAGTAAATCATGATTGCACCACTCCTCTCCAGCCTGAGTGACAGAATGAAACCCTGTCCCAAAAATATATTTTTCTTCAGATTACAGCTCCTCCTTACAGCCCCCCAACCCCTAGTGACCCTACTGTGTTCTGAAATTCTATAACATTATCTGTACAACTCAAATGGTAATCATCTGAAATAATCTCATAGGTTATATTTTTTGTATGGATGCTGCCTCCCTTAACTTGAGTGTGTGCTCCAAAGGCAGGCACCATGTTTTATCATTTGTATGTGGTCTTGTGCCTGTGGCACACTGGTAATATGTTTCAGTTTATGACCATTTTAATTCACTCTTCTCTTTATCCCAACCCTGCTTTTCTCTTGTAACTGTCTCCTTATATCACTCTCCAATCTAGAGTCAAATAGTATTTCATGTTCTAAAGTTTGATTTTGAAAAAAGTAAATCCACCTCAAAATGTAGTCTTGTAAGGTTAATTTTTTAAATTACTGTATTTTCTGAAGATATCATCATAATCCATACAGAACCAATTGTACACCCTCAGTGAACAGGCAAAATTATAAAATGTAGCTCCATCAGTTCTAATGCAGAACATTTAAAAAATCTCCTATCTCCGACTAAACATCATAATGTTACACATCTCACCATTTCTAAGGAGGTGTTTGGCTTATTCGAAAGTAGACCAGTTATAAATACAATAAATATTGAGATAAAACCAACTGGTATCAAGAAAAGTAGCAAAGCTTTTTTCAATAGGTCTTCACCTAGGATTAAAAATCACACAAAAAGGGGAAGTATTAGATATTTATCACTGTTTTTGAAACTGAATTATTGTATAAATAGTGAAGAACTGACTTAAGTTCAGAAGCCCCTGCCATATTTGCCAGTGCATAAATACCACAGTTGTGTTTGAGTATAGCATTCCTTTCATTTGTGCACTTTTTATATAGAACAAGTATTTTACTTAACTGTGACATATTTCATTTTCAGTTAGAAAAATAACTTCCCAAAGCACAATTCTTCTTTCCTGAATGATTTTGTTTAAAATTTGACCTTGTGAATTATCCATTTAAAAATGAAAAAATATTAGCCTAGTGATTAGACAAACATGTCTTGTGTGTCTCTTAACTCTCAGTAAGTCAAACATATACTTAGAGCATAGGATACTGTACTGAGCAAGAGGTATATTTCAATAAAACTTCCTATGTGAGTAATGGAAATAGTCTTTTAAGGTTACTTTTTAAAAGTTGTCTCATATTTTAAAGACCAAAGGGGGGGATAAGGTTTTTCTTTTCTTTTTGATTTTGCTTTGTTATTTTAAGGATGGAGTTTTAATGGTTCTTCTGCATAGTAAGAAATGAGAAATCACTAGGCAAACTTAAAAAGTAGGTGAGGTTTGACCTCCCCAAACTAGTACCTCTCACTTGTTTTGGAGTAATACAAAAGATCTTGAATCTTAGCCATACACCTACAAACCCCCCTTGATCCCACTTTTTCTTTGTCTTATTTCTTCACAATTTTGTTTTTCACTAGAAAATTATCAGTCAAATTCAGGTTCAGATAAGATTTGCAAGAATATAATACAGAGAAATTACTAAGTTATCTGTTATGCAAAATTAACAGTGGGAAGGCAGGAAGCTCCTTCACTGAAGTTCTACTGGCTTTCCCTATACAGAGTCAATCCTGAAGAGGATATATTTTTATTTCCAAAAATATTATTGTCCTATTTTTCTATAACTTGAAATATCCAATAAGAAATGTCCTAAAGAACTGAGACCACATGCAACTCAATAAATTATTTGCTCCTAATTTCAAAGTCATTATGATTCTATGAAGAGGGCCAGGCACAGTGACTCATGCCTGTAATCTCACTTTGGGAGGCCGAGGTGGGCAGATCACCTGAGGCCAGGAGTTCAAGACCAGCCTAGCCAACATGGTGAAACTCTATCTCTACTCAAAATACAGAAATTAGTCAGGTATGGTGGTGCATGCCTGTAATCCCAGCTACTTGGGATGCTAAGGCACAAGAATCGCTTGAACCTGGGAAGTAGAGGTTACAAGGAGATCACGCCTCTGCACTCCAGCCTGAGCAATGGAGCAAGATTCTGTACCCAAAAACAGAAGAAGAGATTTCCCTCGAAGCAAAAGAAATCTTAGTCATCACTATCACTGATAAGACTGCATGTAAAATACAGGAAAGAATATATATTTTGAGGATATAGCTAAAAACTCACCATATCCACTTTATATAATGCATTGACTAATGACAAGATATAATTCAAGACATAACTTTAGAGTTTCCTGATTTTTTTAAAACACTGACAAAAATGAAAAATATAAAACTAGTAAGTCTTCTTTCTCATTCCACATATCTCTTGGTTGAGTTTTCCCGTCTTGTTATTTTTTTCTCCATAATCCTTAGTGATTAAATAATTTGTTAGGCTTCTTTGTTTATTGCCTATCTCTACCCAATTTGGTATAAAATATAAATTCCCTGAGGGTAGAGATTTCTTTACTGCCATATCTCCAAGGCTTGAAAAGAGTCTGATACATAGTAGGTGCTTAATAAATATTTGAGGACTGAAAGGGATCAATGAAGCCACTATATTTGTAGAGTTAATGGAGATTCCACTATAGTAGAATATGAAAGGAGATAAATGATTGATAGATATGCCAGTATCTGTATCAACATCAATATATATATTTATAGCTGCATCTATATCTATGTACTTGAAAGAGCAATGCTGAGTTAACTTCCATCAGTTTCGAACATTTATTAGTCATTTCTACTCTTAAAGCTAGTATATTGTGAAATGTAATCACATTTTACCTCATTACTTAGGCTTTTTAATTTATATTGCTGTGTAATTCAAATTTCTTTATCATAAATCACTTTAAATCAGTGTTGGAAGTGAACGGAATGAATATGTATTTTACTAATCATGACCTCTTAATTTGAAAAATATTCCTTTGGAATAGTATTGGGCACTCAGAAACAAATGTATGCTGATCTATACTTGCTTTAAGATTTCTGTTCTCTTGAATACTGAAAACATAAGAAAATATTGATTAAAATATGCTCCTGTTATCCCTTCAAAAGACCTAGGATATTATCTTTATGGACAGAAAAACAAGAATGTTGATAATAGAAGTATAACAATATTCATAGTCCTCACTGAATATTAGGCTTTTAATAAATCTGTGTTCCACTGAGGTGCTTGCTAACTTATCCTCTCTGTTTGCAGACTACATGGGAAAGTCTTTCGCTTTTGTAATTACAAAATATACGGAAAGAAAATTAATTTTGCGAGCAAATAGCTCATTATTTAGTTACTCTCCTTTGAGCTCATACCTTCCCAGCATTGCTTATCACTCCACTCACTCCAAATTCCATCATCTGAGCAATATATATTCACTTTGCTTCTTACTAAAAAGCATAATTGTCGAGTTTCATTTGTTGTTTTCAAGGTGTACGTTTCATTTTCAACTGTAATAGTCTGAAAGCCAAGGACAAAATAAGATGCCATTATTTAATTTAATTGCAGCTAGACAGATTCCATATCTGACCCTTTCAAAGCTGGTTTTAGTACATAAAACCTATGCATCAAAAGACTAGAAAAGCATAATCCCAGCAGTAATTAGCTCTCTGTATAGTGGGGGTTTCTAAATCATTGTTTCTTCCCTTCTTTATTTATATTTTATATCTACAATGATAATGGATCACTTATAGTGAAGGGCAGCATGTGTGAGAGGGCAAAATTCCTAGGTAGCCTTGGTGTTTATAACACTCAGTATGTGGGCTACTGTCAAATTTCCCAGATTCTATGAACTGGAAAATGCTACATACACTGAGTTACCAAAAGACAGAGACATCATGTGATGGAAACTATAGAGTTCGTATATTAATATATAGCTTTTTCTTTTTTCCTTATTCTTCCTTCCTTATTCTGATTGTTAATAAGAACAAGGAAAATCTGTATAACAATGTTAAGGGCTTGGAATAAGAATAAGGAAATAAAACCTGAATAACAGTACTCAGGGCTTGGTACAAAACAATTGCTACAGTCATGAGACTATCTCAAGGTTGGGTGATCTCAGAGTAAAAAGAAATCACTGAAGCAATTGCTTCAATTTTGCATTTCAAAGACCTGAAGAATTTTTCTCATCCAGTATATTAGCTTTTCCTTTGATACAACTTATCTTAGGAATCAGCATGACGTAGTGTAGACTTGAGAGGACTGGGAATCAGATCTGAAATCTAGTCCTAGCTGCATAAATTGATTGCAAGTGAGTTTTCATACCTGAGATCTATAAGTCAATTCAACAACCAGTTTTCTCATCTGTATATGAAATGAACGAATTAGAACTATTGGCTCACCAACTTCTCTCTATCACTCTCTAAACTAGAAACTAATAAGTAAAAATAACATATCACAATTAAAGGTTAATTGTGATATGTTATTTTTATACATATCATATTTATTTTTTAAATCACTCCGTATAGTGATTTAAAAACCCCCACTATATAGAAGTTAAAGGTATCACCACATTGTTGGTGCTGGGGGTAGTAATTAGTTTTGCAACCATTGCCTACTTCCCCAGCTAGCCCTTCTTGCCTGGTAAAACCAATTCTCTTGTAAGCCTGTCATACTGTAATTTTGACCTGACGGTTGTCTGGTTGTCCCTCAATAAGAGGTCTTCGTTTTTTTTTGTTTGTTTTTTTTTTTTACTTGAGGCCTCTCCACAATCCATCTTAGGCTTTCAGCAACTTTAATTTATTGACACAAAGTTGAAAACAAGTGACTTGATAATCTTTGAGGTTCTATATAACTTTAAAATTGGTATAATTAATTTTACTTTTATCCACTAATTTATTTGGCTTTCTGGAAATTGAACTAAGATACATATCATGTTCTTTCCCTCACATAAATGCAACTGATTTTGGTTCTCATGTTTGGTATTTTATTTAAAAGTCTATATTTATGATTTTTCCAAATAAATGCAATATTCATACCACCAAGGTAGTATCATCTTCTATGATCTCAATTTCATAAATGAAACACCTTGCTGGAATAGGTCCAAAAGGTATGCTCCATTTCAGCTGAACTTCATATACATTCTCCCGAGTAACAGTAAGATAGCCTGGTGGCAGAGGTTTAACTGAAAAACAAAAGGGAACCATTTCAACACGGAGATTGTTGAAGTTTAGTAGTAGCCTTTATCCAAAGCTAGGGACATCTAGTAACAGAAACCTCCAGGGACAAACCAAGTGGCTCAATAATATTCTCTATGATGTGTATTAAAATCGAAGTTGCTTGCCAGCCAAGATGAGTTTATTGACAAACTTGGTTATTTTTGTGGAAACTCATTTTTGACAAGTCACCCACTGACAAATATTTAAGCCCAAGAGAAAAGTTAGAAGACCCAAATAATTACAACCATGTTTCCATTTTGTAGCATTAGAAACAACAACCACAATCAGTACTACTACTACTTTAACAAATAGATAACTCTTATTTAGTACTTATGCTATGTCAGACACTGTAAGTATCAAGGATGTTACATCATAATCTCATTCATGTCTCACAATAAACCTATGAGGTGGTCCTCTATTATCCTCATTTTACTAATAAGGAAATTGAAACAGAAATGTTAATTAACTTGTCCAAAGTCACACAACAAGAAAAATGATAGACCTAAGATTCAAACCCAGGTCTGGCAGACTCTAGAACCCATCACTCTCATAACTATTACAACTGAAAATATAGACTCAGTAAATATCCAACCATTTGTCTATTGAGGCCTGGGAAAAAGTGTATTCATAATTACTCCATCACTAACACTAGACAAAAGTACTGTGTAGCAGACAAACTGAAGATGGAAAATAACATTGTGAGTTCTAAAATGAAAATGATATTAACCTTTATTCAATTTCTTATCTTTCATACTTATATATTTAATAAAAGCTTCCTCATGCACTCTGCTATTTTCTTTTTTTGCATTTCCATAGCACGCTCTCTCTCTCTCTCTCTCTCTCATTCCTTCCTTCCCTTTTTCTCTCTCTCCCCTTCTTAAGTGGTTATAAATGGCCAAACCAGAAACAATAAATTTGAAGTTGTTTGTTGGTTTACATCACCTATATTTTGAAGCTGAAAAATGAAATAACTGGATCTGATAGGCTCGTCTTCTGATGATCCATTAACACAAATATAGAAATCTTTATAGTCTGATGACTCCAAATAGGGAAATCTGCATCCAATATTTTGTCCATCAGCCTTGATGTAATCAACACACTGTAATGCACGATCTAAACCCTCATACCTGTAAAAATAAGCATTGTAAAAACTGTGTTTCACAATCTCTTCCAGTATCAAGGTGCTCCATTTTGAATTGTCTTAGGATACCATGTGAGTTTAAAAATCATTTAATAATGTACAATATTTACTAAGCACCTACTATATGCCAGGCCCTATGATAAGCACTAGGGAAAAAACAGTAGGGAAAGCAGACATAGTCCCTGATTTCATGGAGCTAACAAACTGATTAAAGTCTTCGCAAAATCTCAAAGACAAGGATTCTTACTTGTGTACTTAGGTTATACTGACTCATCAACAGCGATTGTGAATCAAAGAATAATATTCCTAATTAGAAAACCTGTGATTTATACAAATAATCCTGTATGATTTTGCCTTTTAAATTATTTTACTGAAGTTATTTTAAAAGAAAGCAATTTTTTTTTAAAGCAGACTTAGAAAATATTATGTTTAATCAAATGAATGAAAATCCCAAGGATACAACACACATCAAGAGATAAACCTCAGAAAAGCCACCTGGAGGGCAAAAGAAAAGGAGGAGTTGTTTGGCAACTAAATGTTTAATTTTCTTATCTCTTAAGTGAGAAATGTTACCCTACCATTTAAAGTTAACCTCATTCCAGTAATAAAGCTAAAAGGAACTAGGGGTAATTCCCTACTGAATTCCAAAGCAACAAATGCCTGGCTATTTTCCTAAAGAATAGCTTGCAATGCAAAGCATGACATTATTTGTAAAAGCAGCCCAAATCCCTGTTGAAATGAGGCCAATATAGCAGCTGATAAGGTGCCAGTATAAATATCTGGACTCTGCTAAATTAACTTTATGCCAAGTATTTACTTTAGGCAGAGTTTGAAAAACTGTCTCTTGGTTAGTTCATCTGATTAGAGTTTGGGAAACTTGAATTCCAAGCTTAACTTCATACAGACTTACTTTGTGCCAGCAGGGAAGCCTTCTGATACCTTTATTTTCCATTCTCTAAAATATTAATATTTATTCTTCCCTCTTTCACTAAGATGAGGATCAAATTATATTAAATATGAACTACAATGTACAGGAGGGCAGAGACTTTCTCTTATTCAAGCTTTTGTCCTTTTTATCTAGAACACTGCCTGGCATTTAAAAGATGATTAATATTTGTTGAATTAATGAACAAATAATTTAGATCTTTGAAATTTATCTATCCAATTGCAGATGAGGAAACAAAAATACTAAAAGGAAAAATTACTTGCCCAAGGCCAAAAAGTTAAATGATGCTAGAGCAGGGATTAGAACCCAGGTCTCAGGATTGCTAATAGTTTATAGCTTATCATTTATATATTATTATTTTCTAAAGAAAGATGCCATAATTTGGAACTAAAACTCACCAATATTAATGCTTAGTCATCTCTTGATTTGTCCATTATTTAGTAAATGCATATGCTTAGATATTTACCTATCAGTTTATCAATGCTATCGCTTGTTTCATTTATGTAATAAATAGTGATAATCTGCTATGAGCATAGAACTTTGGAGGTAGTCAAGAGAAATATAAGAAACGATTCATGCCCACCAATCCCTTAAACATTTGACAGGAGACAAAACACACATATATGAGAAAAATTTAAATGTCATCTGGACAATAAATCATTAAGAGTTATAAAAAATAATAGTTCAAGCCCAGGCATGGTAGCTCATGCCTGTAATTTCAGCACTTTGGGAGGTTGAGGTGGGTGGATCACTTGAGGTAAGGAGTTTGAAACCAGCTTCGCCAACATGCTGAAACCTCATCTCTACTAAAAATACAAAATTAGCCAGGCGTGGTGGCACACGCCTATAATCTCAGCTGCTTGGGAGGCTAAGGCATGTGAATCGCTTGAACCTGGGAGATGGAGGCTGCAGTGAGCTGAGATTGCACCCCTGCACTCCTGCCTGGGTGACACAGCAAGACTCTGCCTCAAAAAAAAAAAAAAAAAAAAAAAAAGGTAATAGTTTGAGAAAGACAAAACAGAAGCTGACATGAGCAATTAAAAGTTAATGAAACTCGGGAGCAGATGAGCTTTAATAAAAATTGGTGAAAGAAAGATAAAGCTAGAGGGCATTCCAGAAGATAATGCAAACAAAGGTATAAAAGACAGTAACATAAGTGGGAAAAAAATGTAGAGATGGATTTTAATGGAGTGGAACATTCACGTTGGTAATAGTAGACGATATGGCAGCCTAGATTTTATCCTGGGGCAATGAGTAGACATGGGAGGTTTTTGAACAAGAGAGTGGTATATGAAAATGGTAGTGTAGGAAGATAAAGCTGGCTACAGTGTGCAAAAATGAATTTAAAAAGGGAGAAATTGCAAGGGGAGAGATTGGAAGCAGAGCAACCATCATTTGGGAAGCAATGTCAATCATCCAGGTGTGGAATGAGGGAAGCCTAAAGTACAGCTCTTACAGCAGAGATGGTAAGAGCACTTAAGAGATGTGCAACCTTCCAAAGGAATGTCAGAACATGGTGATTATGTTACCCTGAAACAATTAAGAAATGAAGGAGATACACGAGTCACAATGGCCAAGTTTAAAAGCTTCACTGACAGCTAGCAAAGGTAGGGAGTCAGAAAAAAGATCCAGTATTTTTAAAAAGACCAGAATATAAAATATGCCAAAACTGTTTAGGTTCTAACTTCCTGTATCTAAAGGATAAACATTAACCCAGTACAGAAACAATTATTGCATTCCTTATATCACCCATAGAATACTTTCCAGTATCTACATCCTAAAACCACTTACACCCATTGAAAGCCTCAAATAATTGTAAACAATCACCATCATAAATACAACTCTGACAAGTATAATTAATTTAACTTATTGAAAATATAGTTATTCATACTATGGATTAATTTGAGTAGACATTTTTAAATATGAAATTCTAATTATAAAAATGCTTACCAGTAAAACAAGTTGTAATTGGTATCAAGAAGTACACCTATGCCAGGTTTCCAAGAACAGAGTAAATATTGCCAATTGTAATACACACAATCCATATCCTGAACTTTAGTTTCCGGAATTCCTAAGGAACAAATCAATCGTGAATCCTTGAAAGGCTTGGTGATTAATCATTTGTGAAATCATTATGCAATTTTACTTCATTTCCTATGATCTCACCATTTTATTTTACAATCAACATAATCAGGATTATTTCAAAAGGAAGTTACTGGAAATCACTTCACTATGAGAGGGACATGTAAAACCAAAGAAACATTTGAGGGCTTATTTACTGATATTAGTATAAGCATATCCAAAAGTATTAAATTGATTATTCTAGGATGCTCTGAGCAGATGAACAAACACTCATGACTGTTTACTAATATGAACCCAAAACTGGGAACTATATCAATAAAATAAGACATAGGTTTTACCAAAGGTATTTGGTGTTTTAAAAAATTTTTAAAGGCTAATCACCAACTACAAGAAAGATTCTATTTTTTGCCACAATGTCACAGGATCTTATACATACAACCTGGTACATAAGGGACTTATTCCCAAGTGAATTGTTCTGAGAGTATTAAATATGAAAAGAAAGCTTTATTTTAACCTTGTGACGATATCCAATAAGTAGTTTCTGCCCAGGAACTTTGAACTTCTGATCCATTTGTGCATTGCCATGGTAAAAGTGTGCGTATCTTTGCTTCAATGCCCTTGTTAAGATCAAACCCATCTTTGTAATGTAAATTCTTAGTAATGATGGTCTGTTTGATAAAAAGATGAGACAAAGTCAAGCTTACAAACCTCCATGGTATAGTGAGCTATATTAATAAGACAAATAAATCATTAATACCCTGGAGAGTTCCCAATATCTGAGACAGTCCTAATGACTATTTGATACAATACCACAGATACATTTCCAGCAGAGCTCACCTCTGTATGTCATATCATTTGATAAGATCATTTGAATCTTAACATCTCATTCCAAATAAAAATGAAAACTTTTGGAAGGGAAAAAAACCTATGGCATGAACTTGAGCTATAACTGCTTGGAATCGAATAGATAATTTTCATATACCATATGTACATTACTTGGCAAATTATGTCACATTTCAAATATAATATGAAACTTTCAGCAAATACATAAAGTAAAACCCTGGAAGTAACCAGAGAAAGCCAGGCAAATCATGAGCTTCTGAAGGACAAAAAGAATTATTATGTATTCTTATATTCCTGACACCTAGTAGAATGTCTAGCACAAAGCTGATCAATAAATGTTTGAATTTTCTAGTCCATTGAAACTATCTAGCTGAATTAGGGAGGTAATAGAATGCCATCTACAACAGAAATCTTTGAATATATGTGTTTGTTGAGTATATAAGTAGTTAATAATTCAAAAAATTTTCATTGAGCTCTTACTACAATATACACAATGAACCATAATCCTGCCACCCTCTGTGGGAAATGTACAAAGATAAATAAGCCTTATCTCCTTCAGTGGAAAAGCTCACAGTTCAGTAGCATGTATAAGACCCATATCCAAGAATAAAATGCTCTTCTAGTGAAGTGCTCTTCACGTTCATATGGCATGAGACCAAGTATTTTTTTTCCTGTACTTCCAATGGTAGTTGTAACAGTGGATGGGGTGAAAGCAGATATAGCGGGATGAATAGGAGACAGAAGCAGATGTGGAAGCTTTTTATATCCTAATAAGAACCACTGAGATATGGGAACTGGAGTGGACACTAAAGTCAGGAATCACAAAATAACACTTGATCACTCTGATACTGTAAATGCATGCTTTACTTACTGTCCATGTTTCACTACCAATGTTTCGGTATTTTAGTTCATATTCCACTGTACATTCCTTAAAATTATCCAGAGACAGTGGGGGTTGCCATTGCAAATAGAGATAACCTAAATATCCAGGATCCACAATCTCAAAATCCTGAGGAGGGTAAACTGAAATAAAATCAATAAAACACTTTAATTTTTTCTGTATTTTACGACAAAGATTGCTAAATCTAGATGGCTTCCAAATGTCCACCAATTAACAGATAAACAAAATGTGCTACATGTATGCAATTAAATATTATTCAGGCATAAAAAGAAATGAAGTATTAATTCATGCTAAAACATGAACATTGAGAATATTATACTAAGTGAAAGAAGCCAGACACAAAAGACCATATATTGACATAGTTCCATTTCTATGAAATATCCAAAATAGACAAATTCATAGAGAAAGAAAGTAGATTCATGGTTGGTAGGCGCTTGGAGAGAGCAACAATGGAGTGTGACTTCTTAATGGGTTTAGGCCTCTTTTAGGGGTGATGCAACTATTCTAGACTTTGACAGTGGTAATTATTACACAACTTTGTAAATATACTAAAAACCAATGAATAGTACATTTTTAAATAATTAGTTTTGTGTAAATTATATCTCAATGAGACTGTAAAAAAAATCTAGATTACTGGTATGTAATTGTTCCTTCTTTGAGAAACCACATATGCAAAATGTGACTTTGCCTCACTAGGTATTAGTTTTTCAGGGAAGCAAATCCTTCAATGTGGCTTTATCTCTGTGGTCATGTATGCCAGAATTTGGTCCAAGATGGGAACATTTTATTTCAAAAATCTCTCTAATAGAAATAACAAATCAATATTAATTCAATGTTTATTATATGTATATAATGTGGCAAATACAAAACAGGGATAGAAAATATGAAATATGGCCTCCATAGCAAAGCGTCTTAACAATTTGGGGAACATGCAGATCTTGTTGATCCATTCTAGTTAACTGAATTATCTAGGTAACTAAAGTTTCACTCTTTGGAAGGATTCAAGAGAAGGATTCAGCTGTGTGATATGGGGAATCAGCCTATATTACTATTTCAGAGGGGTGCAGTAGGAGGCAATGACTCCATCAGGTGATTTAAAAAGCAATAAAACAAATTATATATATATAATTTTATATTTTTATTATATAATTTTAATATATTTTTATTATATAATTTTGTTATATAAGTTTATATATAATTATTATATATCTATAATGTAATACCAATGTTATATTATTATATATAATATATATGTTCATGTGCATTCAATAATTCTATAAACTTTTCTACTAGCAAATCTAGTAGTACTATAGTACTGCCCTCATGTTGCCTTTTTGCTAATAATTTTCTCTCATTTATATTACATTGTTCATACATATTTCATAATACTTATTGAAGTGAGAAAAAGAATCCACAGAAAAGAAATGGTGGCACCAGTTATGGTTTGACCTGGGACACCCACGTACCTATAAAGAAGGTCGCTATTGAGGATGAAATGAGAATTCTATCATTTCAACACTTAAGGCTAAATTATTTGTCAAATGCATTGTTCAAATTACCTTCTTCAATTAAAAAGTTCATATAATAATTTAATAATTGCATAATTATTTTTAAATTTCACGTTAAATTTCTGTACGTTTTTAAATTTATCTAATTGTCATAAAAGCTAAGGAGAGTAATTAAGAAATCGTTACAGTTAGTTTAGTAGCAGGCAATGAGGTTTCAGATATCAGATCTGTTAAAAAACTACTATACAAAAAGGTATGAACAATGTCTTTTAATTTGGCTTTTATCCCACAAAATGTGTGTCAACATCAGTTACCTTATACAAGAAAGTGGCTAGTAAGTACATAGCTTTTGTTCACGGACCTCCTGAAATAGTTTCAATAACAATTCATCTACTAGTCAGTTATGCACTTCCATAAGGTAGGTCAAAAAGACAGTTAATTTTCTATTAAAATCCATTTAACTTTACTTTTCCTAATTTAAAAACTATTCCATTAAAATCCATTTACCGTCTGTCTTGGTGTCCGAAGATAAAGTATAGCCAAATGTTGTGCTTATCAGAAAGCTATATAAGCATCCGATAGCCAAGCAAACGAAAGCCATTTCTCCAAGATTTAATATCTTGACGTTGTCTCTCTATAAAGGAAAAATATAACATTTTAACTTTATCTTACATCAAATAGTCAAACTAAACGTGATTAAAAATATTTTGGAAAGCTCTTTGTGTGCTTTCTACCAAGAATTAGGAAAACTGTGTCCACCTCAGACCGTGGAAACAGAAATAATCAAGTTAGGAACCAATGTATTTGGGAAGAAAGGATTCTAGTCTCATCCTGCTTATAAGAATAAAAACAAAGCAAAACAAAAACCCTGGTAGCTCCTCACCTCCCCGCCGACACACACTTCTCCTGACCAGGTTATGGTGACTTCAAACAGCCTTCATCTGGAAGACCGTTAGACCCACCAGTATTCTTACTGGTTCACCGGGAGTGTTTATCATCCATCTCCATAGCAACCGTCTCCCTAGCAACAAATAAAAAACTGTCAAATACTCTCATTTCTGAGGGGGGAAAAAAAGTGTTTGAAATCGGCTGGGCGTGATGGTTTACTCCTATAATCCCAGCACTTTGGGAGGCTAAGGCAGGCGGATCACCTGAGGTCAGTTCAAGACAAGCCTGGCCAACATGGTGAAACCCCGTCTCTACTAATAATACAAAATTAGCCAGGCGTGGTGGCATGCGCATGTAATCCCAGCTACTCGGGAGGCTGAGGCAGGAGAATCGCTTGAACCCAGGAGGAGGAGTTTGCGGTGAGCCGAGATCGTGCCATTGAACTCCAGCCTGGGCAATAGGGTAAGACTCCGTCTCAAAATAAATGAATAAATGAATAAATAAATAAATAAAATAGAAAATTATTTGACCACTGAAAAAGTTCAGAACCTAAACCAAAGCCTCAGATAGTTCAAAACTTTGCTCTGTTTCTTCGTAAATATTTCTTTACCTAAGGGGAAAAAAAAAAACTTTATTTAGCGCTGGCGCCCCCTGCTGGGCGACTGACTTTCTTCTTTGCTCCTTTTCCTTTTAAATAATTTTTTTAATTAAAATTTTTTACTTCTGTCTACTCTCATTGTTGTTCCACTTTTTCCTGTGTTTCTCGTATTAGTAAATGGCATTTCCATCCTTCCAGTTGCCCAAACCAGAAATCTGGGAGTCTTCCTCAACTCCTCTCCCATCCAACCTCTCCATTACCACTACCACTTCCTAAATGGAGGATCTTATCAGCAGGGATCTCCTTAGTCAGTCTTTCCTGCCTCTGATCCATTTTCTACACCACATACTGCAAAAGTGATCTTTCTAAAGAGCAAATCTAAACTTTTCATCTCTTTTTTAAAACTAGAACAGCATTTCATTGCCACAGAATACAATTTAGTCATCTTTCTATTCTTGAGGGATATTGGTTTTACGATCAGACTTTAAAGGATTCATGCCTTCATATACCTACTCAATTTAAAAAATACTTTACTTTTAAAAGAAAAATGACTACTCCCAGTCCCATATACTTCTCTTCGAATTTATATTCTGGAACCAACAATTTCACAGAAAGTAAAGGATTAAAAGTCACTTATCCCCACATTTCGGGACTCCCCTTCTTTTCCCATGCATAGATTAATTCAGTAGGATAGACCCTCTCTTCCACCCCATCCTCTTCCTCCTACCTGATCCATCTGTAATATTGTAACATTGGTAAGCTTCAATGGCTACTTTATAGAATCTTAGGATCAAATTGTTACAGCCAATATGTATATCAGAGACAATGGTAGTCAAATTCTCATATATAAATTTGGAAGTAAAACTCCGACTTGCCCAAGATTACACAGCAAGTTAGTAACGAAGCTGGAATTAGGACAGAGATCTCATAATTCCCAGTCCTGTGTACTTCCACCCTATTCTGCTGGGTCCCACAGGCTTGACTCAGGATTATGAAAGCTTTTCCTCTGGGACCCCAGTGATTAAGTCTTCCTTTAATTAACTAACCAGGCTGAATCAACACCATGTTATTTTTAAAATTCTGTGCCTCATAAAATCAGGAGAGAATGCCATTTCTCTCACTGAGGCCCAACAAATCTCTCTTTCTCCCCAATTCCTCTCCCTCTACTTGCCAGCCCATGGCTGCCCACTAATGCATCGGTAAGTACTGGGTAGATTTGGCTACCAGAAGCTTACAGATCTTCCACAGAGCTACTCTCATAGATTAAGATGAACACAGTGGTTACTACTAGGCTCAAGGACATAGGTCTGACAAAGAGAAAACCTTCCAAATCACCTATAAGGACTAAGACAATCAGGCTGCCCTTAAAATGCTCTCAGAGAGATTCTAACAAAATTTTCTCTCACCTATTGATCTGTTCTTTAAAATTTCATAGTGTTGTGTCATGTATAGTATAAGTGCTAAATAAAGAGTTAAAAATCATTTGCTTTTATTCCATTTATAGGCTACTGAAATCTGACTCAGGTTATCAAATACCATTTCATGGATCAGATCAATCAATATACCTAAGCAAAGGTGGAAAATGGGATAGCTAGCGTCTAGCATCACGTACAGACAAACGCACAAAAGTAGTTGCTACGTTACACCCAGGGCCCAACCAAGAATTTCTTACCGAAATGAACACAAAGACAACTCTTTCCTTGGCTTCTGGGTTACAGAATTGTCACTAGCACAATGAGGGGCTTTATACACTATGTGGTTACCCGGAATACCTGAGTTTTTCACAAGGAGGAGCAGGGCCTGAAGACAAAAGGAAGATTAGAAAAGCAAATACAGACATATTAGATTTAAAATTTTTTATATATATATTTCACACTCTCAGACCACAGTTCATAACCACTCATCTGGTCTCAGCTTCTCATTTTTAGAAATAGGCAAATAGCCAGAGAGAAAGATAAGCAGGCCAAGTATACACAACTTATTGGTGGCAGAGCTGTGACTGAAAACCACATCTCCTGAATCCTTTCCACTAACTAACAAATAAATGTTCTTATCATAATGAATCTATCCTGCACCTATTTCACTAGAAGCCTCTCCCTAACTTCCAACCTTCCTCTACCTCCTGTCACCACCCAAACCATCCAGCCCACCACAGTTTTATCATTCATGACATTTCTGGCAGAGTAATAATTCAATAAATATTCATTGAGCATCTTTCGAGTTTATTTTGCCAGATACTATCCCAGCTAAATCTTGCAGAAGATGCAAAGTGAAAGTGGTAACAGTCATAGTATCTGTCATCATAATAATACCTCCTAGTATTTATTTAGCATCCCAGGCACTGCCCTGTACTACACGCTTTATATGCATTATCTCATATAATCCTCACAATCAGACTTGGACATATATACTATTTTTAGTTCAGTGTTATTTGTTTAAATTTTCTTTTTAAGTTTAATTTAATTTTTAATTGATATATAATGGTTGTGCATATTTATGGGGTACAATGTCATGTTTTGATACATGGATACATTGTGTAATGATCAAATCATGGTAATTAGCATATATGTCACCTCAAATGTTTATCAGTTCTTTGTGGTAAGAACATTCAAATTCCTTTCTTCTAGCTTTTGAAATATATAATACATTATTGTAAGCTAAACTCACCTTACTGTGCAATGGAAACCAGAATGTATTCCTCTTACCTAACTGTAACATTGTACCCATTTTCCAACCTCTCCCTATCCCAGCTCCTTTATCCTGTCTCCAGACTCTGGTAACTTCTATTCTACTCTCTACTCTACAAAATTAACTTTTTACAGGCCAGAAGCTAAGACATACAGAAGTTAACCGGCATCCCTCAAGTCACACAGGCCATAAATGGTGAAACCTGGATTTAAATCTAGACAATCTAGTACCAGAGCCCTTGATGGTAACCACACACTAGGTATTTTCTGTGCATAAGATCAATGTGGAGGGCAACTTTCTAATTCTACCCTGTCAGTTTTACACAACACTATTGTTGGGATAGTTTCTCACTGAGAATCTCCATTGGAATGGCAAACCTAAAGTAACTGCCTCTTCTCAGCCTTGCTTCCCCACCACTTCCAAGTCATGCAACATAATACTCTCACTTTAAGAGCTGGCTGCAATCCGTGCATTGTTGGAGAAATTCCAGGTACTTACCAATCATATGGTTTCTCAAGAAATAGATTAACATAGGCAGTTATCACAGGTCCTCTTTTGTTCTCCCCTCTACTTTAGAGACATTAATTAGAATCTCTAATACTGTCCTTCAATCAAGCACATAGAAAATATTAAGTATTCCTGAAATAGTCCCAAGGCCAGGACAAAGATTCCATAAGTCACAAGATAGGGGAGGCTATGGGTGGGGCCAAAAGCCATCCAAAGCAAATTTGGAATTATAGCAAGGTGCTGTAAAAGCTGGCAGGACCAATTATTCTTTGGATCAAAAACAGATATATAGTCCAGGAGCTTGTTATAATAAAAGGCACAATGGTATAAGTATCAATCTGGATTTCACTCCTGCCTCAACCACTGTGATAAGAGGTAAATTATATCTCAATTTGCATCTATAAAATGGAGGTAATGATTCAAGCCTGGCAGGGGTGTCTTGAAGATTAAATAAGATAATGTATGTGAAAGTGCTAGGAAAATAGTAAATTGCTCTATATCCTTGAGAGGGGTTTGTCACTAAGCAACACTTGAAAATAACTTGCCACAGCCTACACATTTGCCTTTATTAATTCAGCACAACAGACTTGTCCATGGTAGATAATTAGACACTTATTATTAATTTCCAATTTCTACCACCTTTGTTGATCCAATGTGCTGCCTCTACTGATTTTATTTTTTGCCTTAAAAACAGTAATTTCTTTCATTTGTTTAGCTTTTCATAGTTTGTAAAGAATATGTTGATATTTTTAACAGGTCTGTAAGTGTATAAGTTTTGTACTCCATATTTACAAACAGCAAAACTGGAGCTTAGAGAAGTGATATGACTAGCACAGGGCCCCACAGCTGATACAATCTATACAGAAAGGATAGGAAAAAGAAGGAAGAGACAGAAAAACATTGCAAGACTAATAATACATAATACGGTTTTTTAGAAACATTCCTTCCTTCTGTTGACAAAGGGAAAGAAAAAGATTCTTCTAAGGTATCCAAAATGACCACAGGATTTTTGTTTTATTTTATTGTAAAGGCAGTGACCAATTTGCAAAGACAATTATTCATTAGAAAATGATAAATGGAATTTTGCAATGTCACTAAAAATGATTTCTTTTAAAAACATACATTAGAAACTATGGACATGTTATTTCTGTTGCCTTTGTGTAAAAAAAAATCAATTATAAAATTTGATACTCTCTATTCACATTGTTTAAGGTATCTAAAAATATTGGCCAAAGCAAGTCCAATCTGAGGAGGGAAAAATGGAAACGCAGTGAGATTGCAGACTTAAATGTCATTTGCAAATGAAGTGATAAATTGATATAGTCTTACATGGAAGGCATTGACTAGGAGGCCTCGGCTCTGTCACCAGCTTTGCCAGGTGACTCTGGAAAACAACAATAATAATAAGGATTATAGTTTATTTTGCCTTTACTAGATGTCAAGCTCTGTGCCAGGTGCTTATATGGATTAGCTCACTTAAGCCTTACAAACTTTTATGACTACGATTATTATCATGCCAATATTACGAATGAGGCATTTGGGGCTCAGGTTTCAAAAGGTTATGCAGTTTAACCAATAAAAATGCCAATATCTAATTCTAAAAGTCATACTCCTTTTAAAATATAATACTCTCTTTCAAGTAGTCTCACTCTGCATAGGTCAATTTTCTCTCATACAAGTTATCCCTGGGCTATAATTCTCCATTTCAATGGTTAATCTGTCATGTTTCCATCTGTGGTTTCAGGATGTGACTCAAGAACACTGGCTTCCTGGATAACTAATCTTATTTCGAGAAGGCCGCCCGACATGTATAAATGCGTATTCGTAGCTTCTAGAGTATAGTCATGACTCAGCACAATAAAGAGAGTCTCGAACCTGCCAGGTTACACACTGAGATTAATACATAGCTCAATAATAGTACAATCAGACTATGACCTGGTGGTGAATCAAGTCCAATTTAGGCAATAACTAGCAAATAACATGTCCTACAGTGGAGTAATTTATAAAGAATGCTGAGGATGACTTTGTACTAACTAACAAAAAAGGGCTTTGAATCACACAGATGCATCATGTTTTCCACTAGTAAAATGATGTCAGTCATGTCCTATACACATACACAGGGAACTTACGAACATGCTGAATTATGAAAATCACTGTATGGAAATGAAACACAGATAAGATTTATTTTTTTAAAATATCACTTTAATATCCAGGTTTATATAGCATGATTATATTTGCATCCCTAATAAGATTACATACGAACATTATTTATTGATATTTATAAAATACTTTCAGTAAATCTACAATTCTTGTAAAAACATAGGCAGTCATTCTGGGGCATAATTATTTTCATTTTATTTATTTATTTATTTATTTATTTATTTATTTATTGTAGAGACGGGGATCTCGTTATATGACCAGGCTGGTCTCAAACTCCTGGGCTTAAGTCATCCTCCTGTCTCAGCCTAACAAAGTGCTTGGATTACAGCCCTGAGCCAGAGCGCCAGGCCGCATAATTCTTTTTTAGATGCTTTTACTATATAATATCCTGAGTTCATCTGGCTAACAAGTTTGCTGCAACACTGTCAAAGACAGACAATTCAGTTTTGAGCTACCATAGCAACATCTAAGTTTACAGTGTTAATTCATGAAGCAGTTTACAAATTTCAGAATTTATCCCTGAGCTGAGATCACAGCGTTATTAGTTTATAATTCTATCCAACAAACCACCAACATGCTTTTTTAAAAACAACCCACTAAAATTTTTTATTTGCAGTCCTTTAAATAAAATCCCCCAGGTCATCAATTAGTAAATATTTCTTGAAACAGGTCAAATAGTTCTTACTAAATATACCTTATATTCTACTCCAGTGATGTCATGGCTGAAGAACAATGCACTGCCTTGAAAGGCACTACTGCTCTGGAATTAGCAAAAAAATCTCTTTTGTTCAACACCGTTCTTCGTACTCCCAGATGCCCCCAATTACTTGTTTGCAAACAGGCAGGGAATACCCAAAACATTCATGTCATGCAACCCCTTCAAAAGTAAACAATAAGATATACTCTACCCACTCAGTACTCAGTAAAAATAGAATACAAAATGTACAACAGCAATTTTTATATTCCTTCCAGGTTATCTACCAGTATGTTATTTATAGGCTTTAAACACATGGGAATGTGGTATTATATTACATATAGTGCCATCAGTTATAGAAAAGAATGTTAAAAACAATTATATATTAATATTTCTATTATATATTAAGTATGCAACAATTATTTTGGGAAGCTTACCACATGCTAGGCACTGTTATGGGTACTGGAAATACAGCAGTGAACAAGACAAAGTAGTTACCCTCATTTCTGGTGTGGAAGACAGACAATAAACATATCAGATAATCACAAGTTGTGTAAAGAAAAATAAAGCAGGATAACATGAAAGAGAATGATGAGGGACTCGTTTTAGGTAAGGGTAGTGAGGGAATGCCTCTCTGAGAAAGTAGCATTAAGGACTTCAGTGATGTGAGGGAATAAACCAGGTAAAGGTACAGGGAAAGAATGTTTCAGGTAGAAGGAATAGCACATCCAAAAGCCCTGTGGCAGGAATC